CTGAGAATTGTTACTTCATTTCATTGCCGGCGTTTTGCTCTACTAAACAGCATTTCATTTGCATTGGAACTTGCTGTGCGTTATATGCTGCTGCTCTTTGTCTTTTTGGTGGCTGTGGCAGGTACCACAGCAACTGCAACTGCAACAGCAACAGCAACTGCTATAGAATTACAGCAATCACAGCGACCATTTCATTGTCAAGGCACAGCAGCCGAGCAAAATCCAAGCCAAAGGCGTTAATAGTCAAATTGTGTAATTTCTGTGGCTAAAGTTCGTGGTGTTTGGTGTGTGGCGGTGGGGCAAATGGAGCTTACAGTTAACCGTTACACATACAAATTGCTGCCAGTTAACCGCAAACGCCACTCGCTCACTGATTATTTACTTTATTGAAATTACCGCAAACACCAACACGCCTCACCTGTCTGGTCTGTGCCCTCACCTACACTGCTGAGGTCTGACCTTGGCGCAGGAAGTTAGAAATTGTGCTGATAAACATCGTATTGAGCTGCCTGCGCTTCCGTCAGACAAGCGAAGAAGAAGAAGTTGCTTGATTCTTGGCCAATTCACACGCCAACATTCCAAATGCTCGATGCTCGGCTCGACTGCTCAGTGCTCATTAAATTGAAATCAAGTGCAATGAGCAATGAGCAGCTATAACTCCAACTCGAACTCCAACTCCAACTCCAACTACAGCTCAGTGCGGCCCTTTCGGTCATATAAATGGCTCTGGCTGGCTAAATCTGGTCAATGGCCTCAGGCCAAACGAAATGTGTGGCTCGCGTGGGTTGAATCAAAACAAACTAAGTGGCTCTTTAAGAGTTATAAATGTGCTTTTTCTTCCAGTGAGTGTTTGTGTATGTGTGTGTGTAGGTTCATAACTCTGGGCTCTGTCTCCAAGTCACGGTCAATTTATCAAACGCAGTTTTGATTTGAGCTCCTTACAACAACATACAACTTTTTAAATATATATTTTTGACAAATTGATGTACGACTGGAGCGTCTTTGGTGGGCCGAATCGAAAGTCGTTGCTTCTCAGCTGCCAGCCAGCGCTTATTTATGGCCAAAATCAGCATATGGCACAAGGCAGCCATGGACATGGTTTGGGCGGATTCTAATTGTGTCACTCGAAAGTCGAAAGTTGGTCAGCAAAAAAAAAGAATAAAATCTGAAAAAATCTGCATGGGAGTCGTGTGTGGACACGGATTCATCCTGTTGACTCTCACACGCAGCCGCATCGTGTGGGCTGCTTAACCCGCAAGTTCGTGATCTCTAACTCGCGTACTTGTTCTTCAAGTGGCTATGAAATTCCACAGCTACGCAGCGAACACATATCCACACACAGACACACACTCGCCCAGATGGCTCTTCAGCTGCTTAGCCACATCTCCATATCGGTCAATGGTCAGCGGCTGTTTGGCCCGTTGTTTGGCCCAGGCAAATAAGCCAGGCAACTACTACGTCAAGTTCGACTACAAAGTATGGCTATTGGTATGTGGTTATGCTACAGGTACCGAGGTACAGCCGTGGCAATAAGTATATGCGCAGGTAGAGACAGCCTCTGGCTCGGCTTGTTTGCATACGAAATAGTTAAGCAGCCTTTCCAGCAGCCACGCCCACTAGTAGAGGCTTATCACGCACCTGATAAGACGCCACAGCTTGGCCACTTGACATTGAACCTGGTCTGAAGTCCGTGTAGCTGGCCAAAATGTTAATTATATGCTGACGGCCCAACAACAAAAATCTTGATTAAATCCGTTGCTGATGATGCTGCTGGCATGTGGCTGATATCATCAGCGCGCGTTCATGCAATTAATACCTGAGCATAATGATGTTTTGCCTCAGCCTAAGCCTGCCCAGAAAGTTGTGGCCCTCGTCAATAGTTGTGCCAGACGCTCGGCCAAAATGCCAGCTAATACAAGCTAATTAAGCGCGCCAAGTGGCAATAAATCCCAAAATGCCATTTGACTTCCGCAACTCACGAGTTTAGTTAGCCATAAACAGGTGATTTTTATGCGCAATAACCAAAAACAATAACAAACACAAATAATAACTATATGAAGATCCAGCTGGAAGCGTACTAATGCCTTTGTAATTGGTTATAAATTAAGCAATCAGTTAAGCATCATCAAAACTTATATAAAATATGCTCGGATACGAGTTTTTCTCTCTATGCCATTTATAGCTACTCAGGCAACATGATGCAGAACTTTGAAAACATAAGCAAGTTCCATCGGACAAATGTTGAGTCTCCAATTAGACCCATAGCCGGGTTCAAAACTCATGTTCGCTGGCTGTGACTTATCACTTTTGTTCGGCACATACTATAAATAAGTACGCATACTTTCATTGGTGTCAATTGCCCAGCCTACAGATCCAGCTGGGGACACGTCAAGCAGCACCTGTGTCTTACAGCCATGGGAACTGTTACCGACAGCTTGTGAAAGACAGAATACCCTGGCCATCATATGTCGTCTCAAATTGTATCAATAATTTGATCAAAAATAAATTTCTTTTAATAACAAAGTCTATGCAGGGCTTGATTCAGTAAGATTAAAAATATATTACTCTATGAACCTTAAACCTTAAACGTTAGTGGATTATGTCATACCATTTTTTGAGCGGAATTAAAACATTAAATTTACAAATAATTTAAGAATGAAAAGCAGCAATTTTAATTAGACTAAGTGTAATTGAGACTAAGGTACTTCCAACGGCGTTACACACTTAGTGGCAAGTCCGAAATACCCCATGCTAAGAGAAGGAATTAAAGCTCGAAATTGATTGATGAAAACGCCCCACGAAAAAAGCGAACAGTCAAAAGGCAGCGCACTAAGGCGAGAGCCAAGTTAAGTTTTAAGTCTGAAAATTGCCGTCTGCTTTTTGTGGCTTATAAAATAATGATTATGTGTTGGGGCTACCGGAGCTGCTGACAGACGATGACGCCGACAAGCAGTGGATCTGCCACGCTGACTGCGTAATGCGCTGTTGTTGGTCCATTAACTTGGCCAGCCAAGTTGGTGGGACCAATCGAGCGAGACACCGCGCAGCTGTTCGACCTTGAGCTTGAATTAAAACTTGAACTTGGCAGCTTAAAAATTGCATAAGGCGCTCGCGCCTGACTGCGCATAGGTCTTAACTGTAAAGCGAAGCACTTGGCTAAGACACGATATGTTACCAAAAAGTCTTAACTGAACAGTAAACACTAAACACCGAAAACAATTGCCAATCGCCAATTGGCATCTGACTGGCCTTTTGTCATGACGCAAAATGCCACTTGTTGTGAAGTATTTGTGCATGTTTCGACTTTTTGCCGATTTGCGCATATTAATCATGGCTGTATAAAGCACTCGAGTGGCCGATATTGATTTATATGGTCGTACAGGCGGGCATCTGTCGATAGCTAAATGAGATACAAATGTATCTCACAGATACTTACAAGTGTTGAGTCATGAGCTGGGTGTTATGTGCCATGTATGTATTATTATAATGGAACAATTCAATTATCGGACCATGCTGTGAAATTCTTGTAAAGCCAGCTCTGAGCTGCTGCTCTCTGCCAGCTCTGCAAGTTCATCAAACTCAAGTGCTTAGCTCCACGGGCAGCGTTTACGTTTTGTTTGCTTGTTAGTGTAACAGATTTATGTGTGAATGTGTGTGTGTGTGTGTGTGTGTAGCACACAATACGCATAAGTGGGTGAGAAAAGTACGAGAAGCGGCACACAGATCTGGCTATAATCAGTTCTCAACTCACACGCTCCAAGTTCTCTTCCAACCATTCACAAAAAATCATCAAAAATGTTCTAAGCTGCGTTTTCGTGTTTTCCCTCCCTCTATTTTCGTCTTCTTCTTTTTGTTGATAGTTTTCCATATTGCAGCACCTTAGTGTTAGCCATGTGGCATGTGCTAATGAAAATTCCAAGAAGTCAACGCTGCATCGAGCATTTGAGCTGTGCTAAATGTGGGTCAACAAGACAGTCAGCCTGACTGACTGACTGACTGATGGACTCGGACTCGGACTCGTACTCGGACTCGAGCTATTGCTGCCTATCATTTCGACTAGGCCAAATCAGTTGAAAGGCAGCTGCATTTGTTGCCTGTTTATTGAATGCCCATTAAAGAGTACCACAATGCTACGGCTGGAATTTAGTTTTAAGGTTTTGGTTATGGGCTTTTGGTTTTCTTTGACGTCTCAGTGTGTTTGCATGTGATTACTGCTGGCAGTGGAAGCAGCTCTGCTGACCGATATTCTGCAGACATGAGAAATGGTATGTCTCTTAACCGTTTTTGGGTTTATTTGCCATAAAGTTTTGTTGAAGTCGGTCGTTAAATTGTACATAGCCCGTTGACCAATGGGTCATTTTAAAGGCTGCACCTTTGAGCAATGGGAGAATGTGAAAGTTAACACCTCGTTCTAGCAGATGCATCCAAAATAATCGTGTAGCCCACCCATTTGCCGAGTGCGGCCATTAGCACTCGACTTTATTTATGGCAAGGGTCGAAATTTATTTTAGTATCTGTTGCTACATTCATGTATCTGTATGTGCAGCACCCTCCAGTTGCACGGTCAATGCCATTTTCGCCTTAATTTCAATTTCAATTTAAATGGCAACGCATGACTCAATTGAATTTTGGACACCCTCACGCAGTTCGCATGCCAAATAAATTGAATTCTCTTTTCGCTCGCGTTAAATGCAACGCCGACCTTTGGGCTGGGCTGGGCTGGGGGCAGAACGGACACTCCTGACCCCGGACAAGTGCCAGTCGTGGCAGCTGTGGCCAGCTGATGGCAATTTGTCACAGAATCCCAATGCCAAATGGCAAATGCTTTAATTAGCTCGACTTGTACCCAAAATATCGAGCCGCAATGTGTGCAAATTTATGGCCAAAATAATCAGTAAAGACAGCGCATATGCGAACATCTCCCATAAGGGGTGTGCGGTTGTGGGCTTAGATACTTAGCGGCCTAACTGTAATTTATGTTGACATAATAAACCACTTACCGGCTAGCGTTAACGCTGGCAGCACCATCAGCAGCATGGCCAGAGACATCAGCTCCTCGAGTCCCAGCGGACTCGAACGTTTTCTTGTCATCGTTTTGCTTGTGTGTGTAACTGCAATGAAGGAAGGAAGCGAAATGTACTTTAGTATTGTGTGGCATGATTTTCAACAAAGCGAATTGATCCATTAGACCTCTGACACTCGCCCGTTTAACCCTTCACAGGCAATGAAAGAGCGATGTAAAAACCACACACAACAATCAAATTGAGCCACAATATGTTTCTTAAACGACGGCACTTCATTAAAAAAGCATGACAGGGCACATGTCCTTATGCCGGTTCACATTTTTTTGTATTTCGTTGTTCAAATTTTTCAATAGCCTCAACTGCTCGACAAAAGCAATTTACGTGCACAAACAGCAAAAGAATTTTTGGGTGGGTTGGGTGACTGTTGACAGTGAGCTGCCACCACCACCGGCACCACCACCAGCATTACGGTCCGAGCACGGTGAGAATCGCAGTCGGCATCCCTCAAACATGTGTGTGTGTGTGTGCGTGGGTGTGTAGGAGGGAGATCCTGACTGGCTGTTTTTCTTCAATTGTTTGCGGAAATCACTTGTTTGCTGATTTGACAGATGTGCAATTTTCCCTGACATGTCTTGCAGGCTCACAATTATTGCCCACAATCCCCTAATACAAAAAAAAATAAACGAAGAGGGAAATATGGTACGAATACGTTGTCATGTTGCTGCCATATACACCAAATGTGAATATAGTTTTGTGAAGTTGTTGCGTCCTGATTGAAGATGTCACCCACACGCCGAAAGAAACTTTCGGGCTCCAACCGTCGCCCCAAGCCGAGTTATAATTAGCTGGGGCTGACAACTGTCCGTATATACTTATGTACTTACGGGCCCATAATGCCATAAAAGCCAACAACAAGAGAAGTAAAAGGAAAATGTCTTCATTTCATATTTTCATTTATTAGCCAAGTTTTTTATTTGCTTTTATGTGCCTTTAATCAAGTCCCTGGAGATGCAACACGTGAGTGCGATATAATTTCCAACGAAGTGGGGGTGGTTACGCCCAGACGTGTCACTTGGGGTGGCCTGGCAAGGGGGCGTGGCTGTAGGCAGGCGTGCATGCGTAAGTTATACAATTTCATACATTTCAAAAAGCTAATAAAAATAACGGCCGTGCACCGTGGGACAACTGAGTGAGGCTGTTGCTTAGATTTGAGCAAGCTTTATCGATAGCTGCGCATATCGAGTGTCAGCCTTTGGCAACAAAGCAATTGTAAATGATTTATCGATAGATTTGAAATGCTGACATCAATTTACAGACCCCGACGGCGGTGCTGCTCTTCTTTCGAAATTCGAGTGGTTTCTGTTACACCCCTCACCCATTGAAAGCGTGCTGGGTAGAATGGGAGGCAGTGTCGTTTGCTCGCTAACGAAACAAGCAAATAAAATGAGCTAATGCCAGGCAGAGCGCGGCTCATCATAAATGCGCGAAATGTGCTCATTAAAATGCAGGGAAACGGCACAGCGCCCCTTGCCGCTCCCTCCCGTGGCATGCCCCCTGCGTGCGACGAGTCGAAGTCAGAGTTGGAGTCTAAGTCTCAGTCCCCGGGAGCCACAAATTGCATTGCTGCGTGCTGTGGCAAACGACAATGTTAAAAGCAATAGCAACAGCAGCAGAAACAACAACAACAAAGAAGAAGAAGAAGCATCTGCAGAACAAGGTGTATGCAACACACGAAACCCGCCTCGACCAACTTGAAAGATTGCTCCGCCGAGATGCAGCCTCAACTTTAGCTGCGGCATTTTGATGACGAGTTGACATGACGAGCGACAATAACAATAATGATAATCTCACACGGGCACAATGATTATCATGATGATGATGATGATCATGATCATGCTGGCCTACCACTGACAACGGAAGCGACACAAACTGGCTATTAGTTGTTGGCCAAAATGGCACTTGTTCTAAACCTATTAGCAACACACGAACAGGCTAGCAACATGTGCCTGCCAGCTGGCAACTTGTTGCGGTAATTATTCTGCCATTTGTTGCAGATGCTGTTGCTGTTGTTGTTGCTGTTGCTGTTGCTGGTGTTGTTAGCTGCTGTTGCTAAATGGTAAACAATTTCAGCAGCCGCTTTCAGTATTTGGGTTAAGACCAAATAAAGGGGTGGTCAGCAGCCAGCAGCTGGCCGAGTGTGTGACACAAATTCAATTTGTGAATGAAGCAGCCAAAACTAAACGCTTTCCACACAAATGTTAAGGCATGTAACTAGCTAACTTTTACCCCATGCCAATTGCCCAAAACAAGTGGCAGAGGGAATTCCCGGAAAGGAGGGGGAGCCACACACACACACACATACACACACACACTGACAAACGAATGTCGGTCATGGGAAATTTGCAAAAAGGCTCGAATAAGTCGAAGCCTAGCTAGGGCCCATGGCAATGTATCATCATCAGCTTCAGTCTCTTGACCAACAATGGGACGCCGTTGATATGCGTTATGAAAAATGCATGCAGGCTTCTAACTCAATGCCACCACGAGGCGGTGGCTCATGCGTGAAGCGACGGCCGACAGTCGACGGCCAACACAAATGCAAATATTTGCACAGCCGCCCGGCATGGTGGGCCAGCGACGGCAACGGCAACTCCTCCTGGATCCGCACAAAGGGTAAGCACTTGACAGGCAACTGTTTAAGGTTGAAAAATTACAGCGGCTAAAAGTGTATGCGAGTGAGTGTGTGCATGTGTGCATGTGTGCATGTGTGTGTGTGTGTGTGTGTGCGACTGCACCGCACTGTCTGAGGCAGCTCCATTGTGATTGTGCTGATTGTGAGCATGCGTGGCCAGCTGAGCTGAGCTGAGCTGAGCTGCCTCTCTGCCGTGCCACAAAGTGTGCCCCCAGCTGCAACACACTAATATAAATGTATCGCCAGAGATGGAGCGCTGGAAATTTACATTTTACAAAGGCGCTGCTGGCGCAGCAACTGCTCGCGGCCTCAATGGAGGGTGGGAAAATTTCACATGCGCAACATTTTGACAGTCGCCAAAGGGAGAGGCGCGCATTGGGGCAACATGGCAACGAGCAGCTAGCGAAATGCATCGTTAGCATATGCATCAAAAGGTGTCTCTTGTCAGCGGAGCAGCTGTCGACTGTCTGCATTTTGAGATTTGTACCATGACCCACAAATATACTTTGGCGCACGCATCTAACGACGACCCAGCTAGCTAGCTGGCTCTCTTGCTGACTAGATCATTGTGGATGCCCGTGGATGACTGGCTGAATGGCAATTTGCAACTGCAACTGCAACTGTGTTGCAGCTATGCGGCTTTAATTGGATTCTGCTGTGGTATCAAATTGACATTTAGCACACAAGACCGAAACCGATCTTCGTGCCTGCTGCTCCATACGCTCTATACCGATGCTCGCTCAGTTGGCTGACCTAACCTCATGCGTTCACCAGGATGGGCGGGAGAGGCGAACAGGGGAGGGCAGAGTCATGCAATCTGAGTCGCTATCCGCATCTCAGTTGCCAATTGCAATTGCTGGCTTATCGCATTACACTTTGATTGCTGTTGCTGCTGCTGTTGCTGTTGCTGCTGCTGTTGCTGTTGCTGCTTGGCGTTAATTTGGTTTTGTGTTCTCGGACAGCCATTTAACGGTGAGGCGGCGCAATTGCAAATTGCATTTCAGCCAATGCCAATGCCAATTGGTCGCCTTTGCCTTGTTGGTCACGTCCAAGTCAATTGTCATAAATCTACAATTGCCGCGAGGCCCTCACACCTTGAGTGTGTGTTTGTGCCTGGAGTAACGCAATAAATGCGCATAGTTTTGTAGAATTGTTGGCCAAATTGTTTGTGGCTTGAACTGGCGGAACTTTGCGATGCTGCCCTGGCCACAAGAATGTTTTGGCAAGAGCCAAGCGTTAGATTTACATATCTGTGTTTATTATAAAAGGAAATGGAAAAGCTGTGCCAAAGACGTTTTTGTCCAATCAACCAGCTTGAACCAGGTTCATGAAGTTGGCCTTACAAATGATCGACCTTGCAGTCGTAGCAGCAGCCAATTGAGTCGAAGGAGTTGTGTCTCTTTTGGCTTTGTTCAGAAAATTAATAAAGCTTTGGACGCCGTTGCGCACGATCCACAAACATAACGGTCTCTAGTGGCAAAGTCAGGGCAGGCAAACAAGCGAACAAACAATCGCGCCAAATGTAAGCTATGTCTCCTTCGTCTCCGTCTCCGTCTCCGTGTTCGTCTCCATCTTCGTCTCTCAATCTCGGCCTGAGTCACTTGTCAGCTAGCCGTGGCGACGATGGCGACAATGCGGAAGCTGTTGGTGCTGCTCAAGCTGCCTGGCACGACAACAGCACGAGCAGCGTGCCCGATGCCGCCAACGCCAAAGACCAACAGCAGCAGCAGCAAGAGCAGCAGCACCAGCAGCAATGGCCACAACAACAACTCCAACTGCAACTCGTAGGCAATTTGCCATTTTGGCTTTGCTTGGCCAACACTTGAACTGGATTAGTTGGCTGCTTGCTTTGATTTGTGACAAATCTTGATGCAAGCTACCGTGTGCCTGCCTGCAGCATGCAACAGCCACGCCATATGTGGACTTGGATGCTGTTCTTGCGGCTGCTGGTGTTGGGTCAGTCAGCAGATCGTGAGCTGATTTTGTGTTAACTTCATTTTTTTTTATTTTATTCTGTTTCGCTTTTTTGTATGCAACTCGCCGCAAATTTCTCTTTTTCTTGGGGTCAAGTTTGTTGCCAGGCAGAAGCGTTCTAATTTCACTCGCTCAGCATTGCAGCTGCAGTCACTTAATTTTGTTTTTTTTTTTGTGTTTTGTTGTCAGCGCATTTACTAGTCGCCTAATTAAAAGCCACAAAACATTTTGAATTATTGGGGCTCTACGTGTTTGTAAATATGAGAACCACTGTGCGATAAGAATAACTATTGCATTGTGTGGCCCAAAAACTTAATTTGTCGTTCGATGGGTTGGTTTATTTTTCTTTATTATTTCGGACGCCCACACGTGTCAGCTGTCAATGTTATACAACATTCAGTTTGGTTTGCCAATTTAAGCA